AATATACAAAGAAGGGTCACGAGGATCAACCTCTCCTATACCAACCAATGCATGACCTCTTTGTAAAGTCAATATTACCTAATTGCCTAATTAATACTTTAGGTTCATGCAACAACAAAGTCAGAAACAAAACTTATGCAGTAAAATTTCTTTATGCTACTGTTTTTCAATTCATTTTCTTATTCTATTGAATTAGAAAAATCAGGCCAGATTAAATTAAGATAGATTAAAAACACTGGCAGACGCTAACCTCAATTTCCTCTGTTCTGATGCTAAATGGAATATTTGTGGCATATAATTCATAACTATTACTAGGAATTTTTAAAAGAGATTTCCTTGGATCTTCAGGAGTTGTGCTTGAAAGTCATCTGGAAACTACAGTTTTGCACACAATTCGATAAGATTGCAGTAGTGCAGTGATAACTGCACCTAATATACACCGGTGACCCCATTAATTTTGGAACCGAAGAGTTACCAATTGATTCTGGGTGAGATTTAAATTGCTAGTTATCTTTAAGGTCCTTTAAATCTGGTTATCGGGGCACTGCCTTTTCCTACATTCATTAGCCCATCCAACCAGATCAAAGAAAGTCATCTTCCAGATCTGCTCACTACAAGATTGTCACTTCATAGGACCTACCTTGCAAATGGATGTGCTCAGTAGCACTTCTACTCTTCAGAACTTCCTCCTCCTTGAAATCTATTAACTTTATCCCTTCTGGCCTTCTGGAAAACTTTGAAAATCTACCTGTTCTGTCGTGCAAAGAAGGAAGGATTTAAACCTGTGATTTAAAGGTGGGTATAAAAGTGCATTGCATTTGTATTTGCAGGTATTTATGTCCTAGATGTTTTACTCTGGGGTCTGGGATTTTCTGGGTTTTTGTTGTTGTTTATATTAGCTACCCAGAGGTGGTAATTCAGCCAGTTCTCTCCGTTTCTGGCGAACTGGTAGCATTGGCTGCAGTAGGCTCTGCACACCCACCCTGATGTAATGTGCAACCTTCTGCACATGAGCAGAAGGTGATTGCATGTGCAGGTGCAGTGCATGTGCAGACACAGCGCATGCGAGCAAAGTGTGTCCATGCACATTCACATTTGTGAACCGGTAGGGAAGGTAATTGAATCCCATCACTGTAGCTACCTACATCCTGCAGGAATGCATGGCATAGAACAAAGGAATCAATTAATCAAACCTTCTTTTTGGAATTATAGTGTTTAGTATGAAGCACCACTGGAATTGAACAGTTCCATATCCCATCTCCTTGCTGCATGCTAAAATTCTTGTTTGCAGTCCTCTACCTTTTTTCCTTCCCTTGTGCAACAGGGGAGCATGGGTAAAGGAACACATGGTGGTAGGGCAGGAGCCCTAATGGCTCCATGCTCTCCTAGCACATTGAAGAATTTTAAATGGCAGGCAGGCAACATTTTGAGGTGATATATGTAACCGTTGGAGGCCAGATCTGGAGAGTAACAACTGACAACTGCAATAATTATCTCTTCTGGCAACTTTCCAGCTAAAAATATTGGCTGTGAAGTGACCTTGAGATACAGGTGCTGAAGGACAGGGGGAATCCAGGCTCCTTTTAACCGCAAGTGCACATGTGTTTTGAAAAGCCATTTTAACACATTCCTTCTATTTCAACCGCTCAAAAATGGGGCTGAGATGAAAAGAGTATTAACTTCCATAATGCAAGAAACGTCTGTGACCAAGAGAACTCAAAGCCAGCAAGCAATAAGTAATAGAGCAGCCTGTGGAGTTTTATATTAAAATCATTCCTTCTGCTTCTGGTCCCTGACAGCTGCCACAGTGAGACCATTTCAACAGCCCTTTTCAGCACCTGTGTGACCCCCATCATTTTAACAATGTCATAATCCAGTGGGAGGGAATCCAAACGTTCGGTGTATCACTTTTTCTTCCCTAGTGGAAAAAGGTAGCCCCCCCACCCTACCCCAGAGACATGCTTTCAGTTCCTACAGTCATTGCAACTTCAGAAAGATTCACAACATCTTATGGAAAAGGTCTTTCAATGACTTTCCCCTCCCCCCATCCCATGGGAGTGTTTTCCCAGTATTCCCACCTCTGCAAGTTTATCCACACTTCTGCAATTCCTCATTTCCGCCCAACAAAACTCTCAACTTTCCCATTTGACTTGCTAGCCTGTAGGTCTGTAGAAATTAGGCAAAATCTAATCTAAATAGTTGATTTTGCTCAGAAAATTATTCTAGTTCAAAAATGTGAACCATTTCTGAAAATCAATTCAATTTAGGCATTTGAATGAAATTGTCAAATTATTTCAGTGTGGGTTTCCAATTTGATTAAGAAAAACCTGGTGCTACACATGCACAGAAACCTTGGAGTGATCCAAAATGATTTGAGTTATACCCGGTTTCTATTGTTTGGCAAAGTCAATTATACTTGGAAATAAATTGCATTTGATAAATTGGATCTCTTAATTGAATATTCACACAGTCCTACTAGCTAGCTTCCCAGGGGCTTTTGATGAATTTATAACAGACAAATAAAGGGTGTTGTGGAGGGGAGGGGGTGGCAGGATGAGATGAAAGCAAATACAAAGAAGTTACTTTCTTCTCTTTTTATGGAGGAACATGAAGTTCTTGATTGTCACTCCCAAATTCTGAACATGTTCAGAAACAACAAAATATGGATTTGCAGATGGACAACGTTCACTACTGCTTAGTCACTTCATCTCAGCACTTGAACTGGATGGAATAGTATGAATGCTAAACAAAAGTTTTGCCAATCCAGTTATTGCTTTATGTTTGCAGAGTTTAAGTAAAGGATGATTTACTTTTCTGCATTACTGTAATCCAAATATTACATGAAAGGGAAATATTAAATGCAGAGGAAAGCTAAAATATAATTTCTTTCTCCCATTAAAACTGGAAAAAATACCTCAATATGTGCATGGATATTCTACAGACTTTGGTCTCTGGCACTCTTCTCCAGCTCCCATATAGATGTTGGAACTACAGTTCCCATCATTCTTAGCTGCCATGGTCACAGCTTTGGGTATTTCAGTGTCCTTATCATAGGACAAACCATGCGACCCACCTGATAATTATAATCTGAAACATTCATGTAGGCACCTCATGCTTTCCTATTAAAATGTATAATTTGCTAATAGCGTCTTAGCAGGCAGTCCACTTCCTTTGATAAAAGGGCAACATTCCTTCTGCCAAAAATGAACCAGGATGAAATCTGAGGGCACTCCCTTTTCAAACATCCATTTCAAAGGTGCTACGGCCGATTCCTTGCCCCTCCTCTCAAGCACGAGAAAATGGCGGCAGTGAACACTGTCTGCGGCTCTTCTCTCTTCCTTGCACTGACACCGTCCCTGTCTCTCCACTTGTCATCCTGACACAGATGGTTGTAAATCTCCCGGATGCCAATTTGGCGCTTGCAGGTTAGGCGTGCTGCCTTATTAGTGCTCAGTTTTGTCATTCAGCCATGTGGACCAAGAGGGAAAGGCAAACAGCATTGCAGACTGAAGCAAATTTACAGCCGGGCTTCCTTGGCTTATTTGCATAGTGCAGCTCTCCCTTTCCCCTACCATGTGCATCTTTGTGTAATTAACTAATGCCACATTCATCAGAATTTAATTCACGCAGTGCACACAGATGCGCAATGTCCAGGAGGGGGACAACAAATAGGCAGGCAATGCCTGGCAGGGATACCTCTTGGCTTCAGTCTTCTACCTCAGCTTCAGCTTGAAGTTTGGCAGAGCTTAATTAGATTGTAGGATGCCATTAGATCGTTATCCCCAATCCTTATTGCATGTGCTTAGGAAATATTTTACCCCCCTCCCAGTCTGGATCTGACAATCACTGCTGCCTCCCAGAGTTGGTAAGTTTGCCTGCGCATCCAAGGGCACGACAACATGTGCCTCCAAAATCTTCCTAATTGCCAGCAGGAACAGGCGAGCGGGTGTTGCAAAGAGCAACGTAGCGTCTGCCAGGTTCTCCCGCTGTAATTGGACGTCGCATCTTTGCAGAAATAAGTGAAAACCACAATCAGGATGTAACAAGCCCCCCCCCCCTGATATGGGATTCCTTTCTCCTCCTCCCCACCCTGGTTTTTAAATCACCTGTTTTCACAAATAGTAGCTATTTGATAAATAAATAAATAAATAAATAAATAAATAAATAAATAAATAAATAAATAAATAAATAATAAATAAATAAATAAATAAATAAATAAATAAATAAATAAATAAATAGCCAAGCTCCCTGGGGCCGCAGCCAGAATGTCTGTGGGAAGGGAGAAACAGATGGGCATCTCTCTCTTCCCAATTCCAGCACTCTAGCAAAGACAAATGAAGTTTTAATGGGGGGGGACCCTAAATCTTGACCAATATGAAGTGCTCAGAGACATCCATAGACCCTTGAAGACCCTCGACAAGCCCATCTAATCTTCA